GACCAATATTCATTGTTGTAATTGATTTTATTAATTGCTTTATGTAAATAAACGGCTCTTCGGCTAATCGTTACCCTATAATATCTAGTATTAAGCATGTAATATGTCATTGTCTTGTTTGACATTATCTATCTTCCTAATGAAATAAGCTGTAACAGCCATTTTTCACCCGAAGTACTTCGCCGATTTGTATGACTGAGGTGTAATCTTAAATCTTAAGATCCAGTGCAACGCAAAATGGTAATTAAAATGATATTTTGATAAAGGGCTTCAACCCTTCCAGTTCGACCCTTCCAGACAGTGATTTAAAAGGTTGACCAACTTTCACATAGAGTAACAGCTAACGGCGCATGCACGAGTGCAGTTCATGAAATTTAATACATATCATTTAAGGAGGTTATTTTCTGATTACCAGAGGTAAAAATACAATGCAATTAAATGTTGATAAAAAGCGTGCCACTGGTTGATCAATAAATAAATAAATTATTTCATTATCAATTCCCCTCTAGTAATACGTTGAAGTAGCCTAATCCCTTGGTCGTATACACTATCCGGAGTTTTGCATTGGCCTAAAAGTCGAGCTGTTTACACAAAGAATTAGTTGACAATTAAAACTTGTACGCGATATGGTGGAAGACCAAATTACATTTTCTTACCGCGAAGTACCCCGTAACCTTTCCCGAGAGGCAGCGCAGGTGTTCCTTAAAATAGTTAGCGAAATGATAAAGAGTGACGTTTCCTCTCAAGACTATCTGTTTCTTTCAAGGAGGTCATTGGAAAGATCTACCAAACCAGAAACCATAATGTTTCTGCAAGTTTTATCTGTTTTTCATCAAGATTGTTCTGCCTCTTTTACTAAAGTTTTACTCGGGTTTACTGCACTGCTATCATTATTGTTCTATGTTGTTGTTGTTATACTGGTTTTGTTTTTCAAATCTCTTGTTTTGTTAACTTGTTGCTTTGTTATTTATAGTTTGTTACTTATAGTTTGTTATTCATAGTTTGTATTTATAGTTTGTTATTTATAGTTGTTATTTATCTTATTTTATGTCTTGTTATTGAAGTGTTGTTTTCTAGTTTTTCACTACTTTTGTACTGGCCTGTGATAATCGCAAAGACACTATGTTTTTCCTCTGCTTCTTCTTTCTGTAAGACCATTGTACTTTTCTTGTAAAAAATGGCGCAACCATTTATAAATAAATAAATAAACCAAAACCAGCCATATCGGACTATTAGAAGAGGGGTGTGTTTTATATTTTTAAATAGGTCTTTAAATATTTGTAATATAGGTATTTATTTTTTTTATATTTACACCTTCCGATTTAGCTCGAAAAAAATTATTATTTTGATTTATTGCTCTATGATCATTTGTTACTGAGGTATTGAGAGGTAAACACTTTACGGTGTCCCAATTTTATTCCTCCTATTGGTAATCAATAAAATGTCATAAATATCGTCATTTCTTGACACATCTTAATTAAACTCGGCATGTGACTTTATCTAGATAAGATATTCTGTTTACTACCTTAAAAATCTTCATTTTAACATTTTATTGGCAGGAACCTGCATATTTACTTCCTGTATGTTATTCTTATAAATGGATATTTTGAACATTTATTTATGGACATAAGTTGACAAGTTTTGTTTTAAGGCAGAATTTCCCAATTAAGTTAGGACTTAAGTATTAAAAGTATTAAAGTATTAAGCGTTATACATTCTCGGAATATAAGAATGTGCTACAATGGGTCTTAAGCTTTAAAATTACACCTCTAATGTAAAAATCGTCGAAGTAGGTCGGGTGAAAAAGGACTGTTACAGCTTATTGAATTAGGAAAAAAGATAATGTTAAACAAGACAACGACATGTCGCATGCTTACTACTGGATATTGCTAATGATTAACCGAAGAGCCGTTGATTTACATAAACCAATTAATAAAATCGATTACAACAATGAATATTGGTCGATACGTGGCAGTGCTGACCACGGGGGGTAGATGTCCGGGGGTAGATTTCCGGGGGTAGATGTCCGGGGGTAGATGTCTGGGGGTAGATGTCCGGGGTAGATGTCCGGGGGTAGATTTCCAGTCGCGGGCTGTTTCTCGATCGTGTATAGGCCCCGCCCCTCGTGACGTCAAAATGACGTAGGCGTTTTTTCATGGGGGTAAATATCCGGGGGTAGAAATCCGCTACCCCTCGTAGTGAACCCTAGGCTATCCGAATTTTCCTAACCTAGCTTTTGTTTGTAAATGAACGTTACTGCTAGAAGATGAGTGAAATGGATAATGAAAAATATTGTTCGTAACCTCCTGTATATTGTCGGGTCAGGTAAAATCTTGTACGTTACACGTTACGCAAGAGCGTGTTTACATCACTTCGGTAAACTATGCAACTCGCTTCCGCTCGTTGCACAACATTCACCTGCGTGATGTAAAAACGCTCTTACTACACTTGTAACTTGTAAAAGGTAAATAGCAGAAATAGCTATTTCATCACTCCGTAACGAAAGTAACTATTTTCGATAACAGCTGACATCAATGAAAGTAGTCGTTTCCCAAGCTCTAATTTAGGGCGAGGGAAAATCGATCAGCTGATTTTCCCTCGCTCTAAATTTACTTTCCCTCGCTCTCAATTAGTTCTCCATTTATTCTCTACGCGCGCTAGTGTTTTGTTACGGTTTAATTTAATGATTTGAATCAGCTGTATGTATTGTTAAAAGTTGTTTTATTCTTTTATTTTCATGTTTAAACAAAATTTATTGAGAAATATACGTAGGTTTCCTTTTAGAAGATTTTATTTTATTTTGATGTTCAATCAAATTAATTGAGAAATAAAATAGTTGTAATATTACTGAGGTTTGCTAATCTGTGTTTGTGTATTTTTGCGTCGTGATGAAAAGTATCGTTCATAACTCGTACCGAAAAGTTATTATCCGGTACTTGCTCCATTATTCCCATCCTCGGCTTCGCCTCGTACGTGAAAATAGCTCTCACATACTCGGCTTCGCCTCGCACGTGAAATTGGGGTTCCCTGTGTTCGGCTTCGCCTCACACAAAAACTTGAGCGCGCGACGGAAAATGCCACTTTCGGTCCTAGTAATGAAATAGTAAGCGCCGGATAATAACTTTCGGTACGAGTTATGAACGATACTTTTCATCACGACGCAAAAATACACAAACACAGAATAGCAGACCTCAGTAATATTAAAACAATTTTATTTCTCAATTAATTTGATTGAACATCAAAATAAAATAAAATCTTCTAAAAAGAAACATACGTATATTTCTCAATAAATTTTGTTTAAACATCAAAATAAAAGAATAACACAACTTTTAAAAATACATACAGCTGATTAAAATCATTAAAATAAACCGTAACAAAACACTAGCGCGCGTAGTGAATAAATGGAGAACTAATTGAGAGCGAGGGAAAGTAAATTTAGAGCGAGGGAAAATCAGCTGATCGATTTTCCCTCGCCCTAAATTAGAGCTTGGGAAACTACTACTTTCATTGATGTCAGCTGTTATCGAAAATAGTTACTTTCGTTAAGGAGTGATGAAATATACTATTGTTTACTTGGTTTTATTGGTTTTGACTTGAGCTGCCTTAAAGGTGTTTTATGATTATGAAAATTTGAGGGTGCTGAAGCTTATTTTGTTATTAAGTATTGGCAATTAATTAAATGTTTTGCGTGCATGAACTATTTATGAAGTTTTAAATGTTCACTTAACCTATATTTTCGGATTCCTCAAGAAAGAGTGATTTTTAATAGGTTAGGTTGAGTTGAGTGTGAATTCGTAAGATTGCAGTTTTGGTAGTGGCAGGTCAAGGTTTATTTTAAGTTAGTTGGGCCTTTCAGTTGAGTTATTGCCTTGCCTTTAAAAAATTTAAATTAATAACTTATCTATTTATAAGGGTAGGCCTGAGTTAGGCTCTAAATGTCGAATGTGTGTGTAGACTTTTTGTTGTAAAAATTTGAACGAATAGTGTTTTTGGCTCTCTGGGGACATCAAAATGAAAAAGTAAATCGGTCCCCAGTCTAGGTCTTACCATGCCACCTACGGTAGCTATTCCCCTATTGGGAAATTCACTAAAACTTAAACACTTTGGTGTAAAATAATCGGGTGCGTACACAAAGAACGCCGGTTGCCGGCGCCGGCAAACCGGCCGATGTAAGCGCGTCCCGGCTCGAGAAGAACTATGGGTGCGTACACAAAGAACGCCGGTTGCCGGCGCCGGCAAACCGGCCGCTGTAAGCGCGTCCCGGCTCGAGAAGAACTTAACATGGTTTCAAGTGTGCCCGTACACAGTAAACGCCGGTGCCGGCTCAACAAGCGCAACAAGCGCGAGCTGCCGGCGTCAACCGGCAAACAAGTATGAAGAGAACCCGGCAACCGGCTCAGTCCGCGAGTGGTCTCTGTACTGTGCAGTTGGTGGGTGTCATAGCGCGATGGTTGATACAGATGATTTAATTTCCAAAGTTTATCAAAATAAGGCGATTTGGGATAAACGGGAGAAGTTTCACGCGAACAGTGTGTATGTAGATAAGTGTTGGATGGAGATAGCTACTGAATTCTCATGTATGTGTAGAACCGTTGTGGGTCACCTTTTAGTTGCGGAAACAAGTGATGGTATTCACCAAGTTTCTTCCTATGTCTATTAATAACATGAACACCGACTTTCCTCCTTTGCAATAGTTTTACATGAACACTCTCCGCCAAAAACACATCATCACTAGACGAAGACATCTTTGACACTGCTCAAAGTGAACTGACTTGTCACGCTTGTTACCAGCTTTCTTTATGTACGGCTTCAAGCTTTTGCCGCGCTTATAAGCACGAGGAGCAAGCTGCCGGTTTGCCGGCGCCGGCAACCGGCGTTCTTTGTGTACGCACCCTAGGAAGTAACAGTTACCTCGGAAAGTGCTCCAAGAGCTTTGCGCAAGCTGAGATGCTCGTGGGTACAGAACGTCGAGTCATCACACTCCATCTAAAATCAAATCCAACCAAATCAAGTCTGTCTGTTTAAAAATAGTAGGTAGGCTATGCTATAAGGTTAGTTTGGTTTAGAGTCATTGAAATAACTTATGCTGAATATAATATCTTAACTTAGACTATGGAATTAAGCTTGGAAGAGATAATAAAGATAAAAAAGATCAGAAAATTGTCTGGAATCCAGCCTAAAAGGTAAGCAGGCCATTCTTTGGTCTACATTAGGCCTAGGCTAATATGTTTTAAGTTGGGGTTAGGTTTATGCCCAATCATGTAAAGTAGGGGTAGACTTTCATAATTCATAGGCAGTAAGCCAAGCCTTAAAAGTATAAATTCGTTGAAGAAAATTCAGGCAGGATGCTATGGACAAAATGTTTGCCCTCTTACTATTTTAAATTTCAAAATATTTTAGTGATAGGCCTAGCATTGTGATGCCCTACTAACAGTTACTGGTACAGTTTCTTAACTGGGCTATGCTAATATCGATTGAAACTATCGATTTGATTAGTAAACTTTCATGCGATTTTTTTCATTATCAGCAAGTTTGGTTGTTTAGGTTAGGTTATGATAGTTAAATTTATAATAGATATATTTAAAAATATCGATTATTAACCCTCCGAGTGTTATGTGTCGTAAAAGCGACTCATAACACATCCGCTGTAGTGTTATGTGTCGCTTTTGCGACTCACAAACACTGTTTACGGCGACGGCTCTGGGACTGACTGAATCGGATTGAACTGGATCGAGTTAGGTATCGTTTTTTTCAGCAGATTCAGAGCTTTCTCCTGATGTCCGTTTCTATACGCTTTTCATTTTAGTTACAAAAATATTGTAGCAGACAGCTGACGTGCGTATTTGTAAACAGCTTGATTAACCTCGCACCGATGACTGATGTGTTTTAGGCCTATTACGTTTATCATTGTTTTAGTGTTAAAAATCAAAAGTAGTGATATATGTGGTGCATTATAAGAAGATTTAAGTGATTTTGAAGGGCTGGTTGATGATCCTGAAGAAGTAGGTAGTGATATTGTTCGATGTAAATTATCAGCCAGATTCCTAGCTATGGTTAGGCTATGCATTCTTAGCTAAACGCTATGTACCGAAATCTGTTTTTTGCCCATAACTTATTTATTTGCAAACCTACTTCCTTATATTATTATATTTTTGGAATCCTCATAAAATTCTAAACAAAGTGGCTATTTTAAAATATTTGTAGACCTATAAATTATAACGGCTGCACTTTACTTGACGTCCTACACTCATTCGATTGGTTTTTTCGATTCAATATTTTCATTCGATTCTTTCATTCGATATATCGTTTGGTTAGTTAGGTTAGGTTAACCTTACCTAACTAACCAAACGATATATCTGAAAGCAATCGATTAATCGATATTTTCATTCAAATGAGTGTAGGACGTCAAGTAAAGTGCAGCCATTATAACAATTTATTGAGCGCAAACATAATTTTTTCCATTTAGCCTATTTTATAGTTTTTGAGAAATGTTCACCTCACAAAAATTGTTGAACATTTTTTTGTAATGTTTTATATGTTACATTGAAGCCCATAATTTTCCAAACAAAATGATATATAAAACAGTATAGGCCTACTTTGCATTGTTTTGAAGTTTCTAAGATACATTTTAATAAAACACTGCGATTGCGCAATAAATGGGCGAACATTAAGACCAAAACTAGAGACACTTGGAGGGTTAATCAATATTTTCAATTTGATAGTTTCAATCGATATTAGCATAGCCCAGTTAAGAAACTGTACCCACAGTGACTACTTTGAGCTGCAGGTAGAGCCTGCTTTTTAGTTAGGCCTAGGCCTACGTTACAGCTCAGGTGTTAAAATATGGATTTTAAGGTTACAGCTTAAGGGTAGACTTCCGTATCTGTTGGCACAAACAACCGAATGAAAATTTGATTGTTTCATTTGATATATTGTTTTGTTAACTTAAATAGGTTAGGTTAACCTTTACCTAACTAACCAAACGATATTGATCGATATTTTCATTCGGTTGTTTGTTACAACAGATACGGGGTAATTCTGAGCAATTACTTGGTCAACCCTAAACTTTTTCATATTTTACTACAGTCATAAGGATGTTCTCGGAAAACAAGAAACCTATAATTTTAATTCAAGCCCCGCAAGGTTAGGTAGGTTGGATGCACTTTACTTTAGGTCCTACACTCATTCGAATGAAAATATCGATCGATTAATCGATTGTTTCATTTGATATATCGTTTGATTAGTTCTTAAGGTTAACCTAACCTAACTAACCAAACGATATATCGAATGAAATAATCAATAAGATTATGTCAGGTTAGGTTAGGTTATGTCATGAATTCACCTTGAACCTAACCTAACATGACGGTACTGTCACAACTGGCCTTCCGCGCGTCTTCTGCATGCCACTGTTATCACGTGGACTTTGAACCTTCTTATCGCTCGGTCTTATCGCTTGGCAACCTGTACGATGGCCTTGCGGGGCTTTAATTATATGTTTCTTGTTTTCTGAGAACATCCTTATGACCGTAGTAAAATATGAAAAAGTTTGGGGTTGACCAAGTAATTGCTCAGAATTAACTTACCAGATACGGAAGTCAACCCGGGGGCCCTATTTTTGAAATGGTTGACTGTTGAGTTGAGTGTCGAGTCATTCTATTTCCAATCGTTTCGTATTTTTGAAACGGTTGACGGTGGACTTATACAACCAAAATTACTCAACACCTATCGAGCTGTTGAGTGGAGGTTGACTGCACTTTCTTCTTCCTCTCTTTCGGCAAAAAATTACTCTTTTTGAGACGACGCCATATTGTTTTGTTATTGCTTTAATTTACTAATTGCGATTTAGAGGTTATGTATTTGTTGTCAATTTATTAGCACCCAATTATGCGATTGTTTTCTGTAGAATTATCACATTTTAATTTTATTTACTGTGTCAATACTAGACTATTTAATCAAGGGTTTTATTCTTGTTGGAATGTTTGAAATAGACTAGGCATACTAATTGAACTTATTATAAGATAATTATTGTTATTAGACCTATGATTTAAGGTATTAAAGATTGTGGTAGAGAGAAACAATATCATAGGCCTAGTTTGTTTCAATACCATTCACCTAATAAAGGGATCAAATTAATTTAAGTTACGATATGCTTTCAGTGCAATGGCAAATAGCCGCTTTAACCTAAATAAAAAACAATTAAAAATAACATAAAACAAACCGATGAAGGAAACTAAAATAAGGTGATGAAATAGAGACGAAGAAAGCAAATAATAATGTATTTAGGATGAGTGTAGGACCTAAAGTAAAGTGCAGCCTATGCCTAAACTTATAATTAGCTACACCCTAAAACAAACATCCATAGTAAATTTTATTTTTTATACTTAAGTTTATTACTTTATTTAGTTTACTTTAGTTTATTACTTAAGTTAAGGTACTTTGCAATCACTAAGATTAAGCAAGACATAACCTCAATCTCAATCTCTCAAGAACGGAGTTGACAGTTTACCTCAGTGTCTCGAAATATGGCAGATTGAGATTAGCTGCCAGATTTTAGAGTAAGAAGAGGTTAAATCGAAGTCCGCAAGAACTCTGCATTGTGATTGGTTCAAAATAACGTCATCTGAATTTTTGACGGTCGTATGCTCTACATTTCCACCACGAGTCTCTCAACTAGTGATTCCCAACTCGCTTCCCAACTGTTGGGTTTCAAAAATACCAAATCATGTTGTTGGTTGAGTTGAGTGCTGACGATTGACTCAACTGTCAACCATTTCAAAAATAGGGCCCCGGGTTAAAATATGGATTTTAATAAAAATCCATCTGATTTTAAGGTTAGGCATTAAATGTAGATGGCCCTATTTTTAACTCTGTTACAACTTTCAATTAGGCCTACTGCAACTTACTTTATTGGCAATAAGGCCTAGCCTATTCCACAAGCAAGGCCAACATTAGTTAACCCTAGCAGTGGCCAACGAGTGTAATACGCTCGTTCGCCATGAAGCCTAGAATGGCCACCAGCGTAATACGCTACTTAGTGTAGGCCGACATTTTTTTAACGATGAAAAAACCGCTCATAATCAACTCTGATATGAACAATACGTATATACACCATTCGAAAGATCACATTCTGAACTTTCATTTTATTATACAGACTGTCCCAAAAGTCCCGGACCGGTTTAATATTTTCTAAACGACAACAGATAAATTAATAAGATTTGGTACATCAATACCACACCTAAAAATCTACTTTTTTATGGAACTATCAATTTTCTGTCATATCATGGGGACGTCCCGCAAGGAGTCAGAAGGAAATCTTAAATAGAAGCATAGGTTGACATGTACATCAAATTAAAGGTCTTTACTAGCAGAATTTAATGCCGCAAATTTGAACTTAAACGGATAACTGAGAAAAAAATGACAGGCGTTCAAAGATTTCTTGAATCAGCCATTTTGAATCTTTGAACGACTGCCATTTTTTACTCAGGCGTTCTTTTGAGCTTGAATTTACGGCATTGTAATCTACTAGTGAAGACCTTTAATTTGATGTGCATATCGACCTATGCTTACGTTAACAATTTTCTTCTGATTCCTAGGGCTGTGCCCCCTGAGGAGTAAGCGTATAATAGCAATGCAAATTAAATGAATCTTTGAACCACTGTCATTCTTGGCTCGGTTGTCCGTTTGATTTCAAATTTGCGGCATTATATTCTGCTAGTAAAGACCTTTAATTTGATGTACATGCTGTTCAAAGGTTTATTGCGGACATTTTCCATCACGAATGTAAAAAACAATACACAACGTTTCGGGATCTGGAATCTGATCCCGTCTTCAGGTGAAAAAAAACTTAACTAACACATTACAACTAACAATACACAAACGCCCAACCTAAGTTGGAATACACTACCGAGGGTAGTAGTAAAAAAATATGCACTGTATAGCAGTCAAGTCATGATACAACATGCAATTAATAACAAATCACAAAACACTATAATCTATAAAAGGTTTAACGTAAAAAACTCACACAATGGAACACTAATAGCACCGTACGCAATGACTCCACCAATGAGACTGAAACAACATGGCTGACCAATCGGAAACACGGAGACAACAGAAATGGCTTCCGGTCCCTGGAAAAGTAAAACCAACAAAATGGCGGAGCGACATCGCACTTCGTATATTGCGGCATCGTACATCGCTCCGTCATTTTGTTGGTTTTACTTTTCCAGGGACCGGAAGCCATTTCTGTTGTCTCCGTGTTTCCGATTGGTCAGCCATGTTGTTTCAGTCTCATTGGTGGACGACAAAAGTGCATCACTACTGTCAAGGTCTCATACACAAAGTGCCTTGTATTCACCATTGCGTGTTGTTGCAGGTGAGTTTTCGCTCTCGTTTTATCATATATATTACTAAATTTGTTATTAACTTATTTCATATTGTTAGAGAAATGTGTGTGTGTATATAAACAGTAATCTTCAATGCATTTTATTATGCATGAATAGGGTGACCTGCCCAGTTTGTTCTGCTATAAATTGGTACACCGTTTCATTCCGGTTGAGATTACATAGTGAACATAAATTTGATTTTCCATCCAGGGCTTATAGTTAAGATTTATTAACTCTGTTCTAGCTTTTATAATCCAGGACATAAGTTTAACATTTAGGTCAAAAGGAACGATCTATCTCCAAGGTGGAGGTCAAGGTTCAAATACATAACTATGTTGCCGAACTCAGACAATCCTTAATCAAAAAACATTAACAAAATAAACAAAAACAATCATAATAAATTAATAATCAGCTGGTTACACTACACTTAAGTATGAGTAAGTTAAGGCCGGCCACACACAGAACCAGGCGGGTCGGGGCACGACGAGACGCCCTGTCTTGTTGCTGTCACACACAGAATGAGACAGGGCACGTCAAGTAAAAAGTTTAGCCCCCATAAACCTGAAAATTAATATAGGATTTTTTATTTCTGAGCCTTGAGCCGATTTAGCCAACTTTTAAATTTGACTTTATACTTGGGAGCAGAATAGAAAACAAAATTCTAAGTCATACCTCCAGAGGAGTGGTTTTTGAAACCCTTAAGATATGAACGTTGGCCCTCTCTTTCCTCAGTTATCAATACCAAGATAAATTATTAGTTATTCAACCACTGTAGTAATATCAATACTGCATAGTCTTATCAAAGGGTGTAATCTTTGGTTGTATAAATTGTTACAGTCTTGTATGTAAATTGTATCAGTTGTAAAATAATCCTTATCAAAATTAGCCCGTAAGGGAATAAATCAAGTGACCGCGCATGCGCATAAAGTTCTGCCCGGCAGCGACTTGTCTCGGGGCATAATTTTGGAGACCTTCGCATTTTGCCCTGAGGGCGCCCGGGGGCGTCTTTTCGATGTGCCCTGCCTCGCCCGGTCCTGTGTGTGGAGCTCCATAAGGGCCCGTGCAATTCCCGTTGCACAAGACGCCCCGGGGCAAAATGCCCTGTCGCGCCCCGCCTTGCCTGGTTCTGTTTGTGGCCGGCCTAAGTAGTCACTGGTCCGCTCCTTGTTCATTTGTGTGCGATTTGTTGCGTGCCTCAAAATAGTGTTTTAAAGATATTTTATTGTTTATTGGAATTTTAGGAATGGTTTAGAAAGGTTTAAAAGAAAAGTCCAGAAAGTTCAGATTTACCTTGAAGGTTCATTGGTAAAATATGATGGTCTGGACAGGTCTGTATGTGAACTGTGGAGAGCAAATAGGTAGCTGTTTATCCTCGACTTCATTCTTATTTAGGCATGTGGGGAAGGTAGGTCGGGTTTTTACGGGGATTTGTGACTGTATTAAGTGTTTTGGACTTAACTTAGGTTAGATTAGGAAGGTAAATCTAAATCTCTAAGGTAAATCTCTTTAAACAATTATAAAACCTGCTTCTTTTATCAGGTAGGCCTATATCAAAAGATGATTTTTATGGGTTTTGAACATTTATTTTGGACTTACACAGAGGCTAATTTATATGTTTTTGTTCAAGGCTTTCAAATAACAATAAAGGAGTTGTCAGAGGAAGAGTTAATGGAAGAAATGACAAATCCCAACAACCTCCTCAGGGTCGTGGAAACATGAATCCTGGTGGAAAACTATTGGATGCCAGAATGAAGATAATTCAGAAGAACCGGCAGCGCATGACAGATGCCAGATATAAACTCGCAGAGATTGCCAAACAAACAGACGCAAGGACAAAGATAAAAAGACAAAATATTGTAGGTATAACAAGTAATATTCTTTATTAGATGTTCCAGCTCTGCTTTGTATAGTGTTATAAAACACTATTGTTACAAGTTAATTTAATAGAATGAAATTAAAAGAATACTTTACTGGAAAATCTTTATGATGTACTAAATTGGACATTTGAATTCTCATAAGGAAGTCAAAGAGTACTAAATATAATAACTATAGTCCAATAGTTATTATATGCAACACTCCCCCTACTTAATGCTTCCTTAGAGACTTCATAGGAACTTTAAGCCAGTCCAATTTTCTGTCTTAAAACTGTTGACCTTGGTCCAAGAAGAGGTTTTGTAAACAAATCAGCTAGTTGTTCACTTGTGTCAATTTTCTTCACTTCAAGGTTTCCTGCTGTCACTTGTTCTCGAATGAAAAAGTGTTTTATTTCAATGTGTTTGGTTCTTCTGTGATGCTCTGGATTCTGTGCTAGACATATTGCAGCTTCATTGTCTACGAAGATCACAGGTGTACTTTTAAGTTGAGTTAATGAAGTTAACTTCAGTTAGTATTAGTTAAGTTCAGTTAGTGAACTTGGATGCTTTAACCAAATTTCATCCCTGGCCGCCTCACTCGCAGCTACAATCTCTGCTCCCGTAGTTGAAAGTTGAATAGAAGGCTGTCGTTGGCTGATCCATGATATAGCTCCACCTGCGTACAGAGTCAGTAGTCCTGTCGTCGATCTCCTGGTTTCACAGTCACCATCAAAGTCTGAATCACTGTAACAATTAAGTACACCTCTTCTAATGTGCTTCAGCAACGACTATGGCACTACTTGAAAACATTTTCTCGGTCCATAGGTTCCTCTCGTTCTTGGTCTCGGACAATGCAACTATATTCAAAAGTGAAGAATTCATCAACTACTGTAAAGAATGTGGAATTTTCCAAAAATAAAAATTTACTGCCCCTTACCATCCTGCAACAAATGGCCTGGTGGAACTAAATAAACTTTAAAGAGAAGGCTTATTGCTGCTATCGATGAGCCAACCTCAATTACCACAAAGCTGCAAAACATAATGTTCAGATATCGAGCAACACCTTTGGCATCGGGCAAGACTCCAGCAGATTTGTGTTTGAACAGGAATATTCTGATCAGACTTGACACACTTCTCTCTAACCCAAAGACAATACTTCCTTCAAAATCGATTGCTCCTCTTTGCGCCCGCCCGGGGAGTGGGTTCAGGCAAGAGTTCACATGGAAAATAAAAACATATGGCGGTTTGGTACAATCAAGAGAAAGGGAGTGTTGCTGAAGGTCTAATTAGACCTTCGACACACATTTTGCAGTTTGTACTTGTTGCTGAGGGTCTAATCTGGCAGTATGTCGAAGGTCTAAGTCCCGGAAGGTCTAGGAGGACAGTCAATGCAAAAAACCCATCCACTGATACTGTTTTAGACCTTGGGCACACAATGTATATTTTCAAAATAAATGTTTGTAAAATGAGAGTTGCTGAAGGTCTAATTCCCGGAAGGTCTAAGATTCGAGTCCCGGAAGGTCTAAGATTCGATTCCCGGAAGGTCTAAGATTCGAGTCCCGGAAGGTCTAAGATGCGGGCGGGCATTGCGTCGCCAGAGATGAAGGCTATACAGGCAGGCAATAACGCAACAACTTTTAGAGTTGTAATATTCTTTGTGATAGTTTTAATAACTCTCATGTCTTTTTATGGAGATATTAAAAAAATATCTTCATTTATATTATATCATTGACTATTGGATACTTTAATTTTTGTTACTGGCATAGTTGCTGGGCCATAACAGTAATTTCATCAGTTTAAATTGGTAATAAAAAACCATCGTGCAATCGGCAGAAATAAGTTAAATAAGTTCGGCAGAAATAAGTTAATGTTGGTGTTAAAATAACATCGTTAGTTTCATTGGTGTTCAGGATTCTGTTTTGTTTATTTCAGCTTAGCCAATAAATAGTTTCATCCATTGACTTTATACCACATATATAGTCAATGTTTCATCTTACTAATATTATAAATCTAAAAGTTTGTGAATTTTTGCGTGCGTGCGTATAAGGCCGGTTCCGAGGCGATCGATGTGATTTTCCACCGTGGGTCCGAGGTCCCCGCTGGTTTCGAGGTCCTGGTGCGGGACCTCGGATCCAAATACAACCGAAAACGTGTTCGATGTCAGAGAATAATTTTAATATCAATATTAAGTGATTGTGAGTGAGACCTTGGAACCCTAATGGAAAGTTTAAAACTTCTTCATGGAATTTCCGATAGGAACGCGATAGTTTTTACTTGTACACAGTGTGACATGTGACATAAAATGACATTCTCCGCGGGAACCGATGTCCGTGTCCGTTTCCCTCACATATAATGTATACACTGTACACCCTCTGATACACCCTTCAACTGCAAGCAGAGGCTCCCCTTTAACCCCCACCTCCACCTCTCTCCAAGATGACATCGTATTTCAGATATCATATAACTAACGGCAGTCGGCAGTCCGAATGGAATGAGAACAGTTGCTATTCAACACCTCACGAGAACGTTGTTTCCAAGCTGTGCTCGTTTGTTTCCTAGACGAATAACAGTAGTAAAATTAAAGAACAAGTATCTTGGTTCTATTATACCTCATAACCGTAATTATTAGTACTCACGTGGGCCTATGAATTTTTATGCATTTTTGGAACGTACTACACATTAACATAACATGTCAACATGAGTTGTTTATTAGATAAACAGTTTCATTCATAACATTGTTACTTAAGCAAATTATTCCGATACCCGAATATCAAAAAATAAGTACAGTATTAAATAACACTAGTGGCTTGTAGGGACACAAGTTCCTAAAAAGCTTCAATGTAAAACAAATTATTGTATTGTTTAAATAACCTCAGAATCAAATTTTCTTCAGATATCTCAGTACATAATTTTTTTAGTTTATTGTTTTTTTTTTTCATTATGATAAAAATAATAATAATAAAAGGGCTTCCCTGATTGAAATATTGGAACTTGTCATCGTCAAATATGAAAAGGTGAATAAAGGTTTGTTGAGATAAGCTTAGTTCTTAGTGAAAACCGCTAAATTAGCATCCCGACCCAGTTATTATTTCTATGTTTAGGACTACGCTCATTTTGTAAAGGTTTGACAAAATTAGTGTAAAGTAAAGGTATCCCACTGACATAATATAACCCTAAATTTGATTCTGTTTGACATTACAAAAACTACTATTAGCCTAGTGTAAATATATGTGGTGGTAATCCTCCTAAGGTGCAATTGACTTTACATATTCTATAAGGAAAATGCCTAATCAAATTCTGATTACTAACTATTTATTAGACCCTAATATAAGACTCTATATTTGATGATTTATTTAGAAAGTATATGCCATTGAAAAAGTTTTTATTCTTTGAATTTCTTCTCTAAAGCTACTCATTTAGGAGTTACAGTGTGTTAAAACTAAGAAAAAATTAGGTGCCGTGTAGGGGCCTACATTCGACGCCATGTATCTCTTAAATGAGTAAGTTTAGAGATAAAATGCTAAGGGTAAAAAGTCTGAAAATTTCATCTACAGTCTAAAAAGATCTTAAATTAAAAAAAAAACATAAAAGATAGGTAATGATCCCATGGCACAAAATTGTAAAATAAGAAAACTAGGTATTTTATGGCCTTTTTAGAAAGTGGAAGCAATTTTAAGACTTATTTACTCTTAGCATAAAATATAGGGTCTTCCGTAATATAAATCAAAGTTGGGGGCCATATTGGAAAAATGGCTGCTAAATTTTTTTTTACTTTTTCTAAAACTGTTTGAATAAAAAATCGAAGACCTCTTTCACACTGTCATGCGGCGTTGGTCTATGGGAGTTTTTATATAAGTTTTTTTCACACAATGTCCGTCGCGCGCCTGCGGCCTGACTGACGGCGAATTCGCCGAACGGCACGCGAGTTACCGCCGGATGCACCTACGCCGTCAAGAAGTCTACGCCGGACAACTCGTTGAAGGGCTAAGTTCGGCTGCGTCCCGAAAGCCCTATGGCTAAAGCTGGGGGACGAAAACCACAACAATTGGTAAAGGGTCGAAAAGGTTTTAATCTTGGGGACGTTTTTAATTTCTTTAAGCCACGACTGCGAGCAGGTAGACAGCTGTCAGGGTGGCAGCTCACAGGGAGAACGGGAAAATTTAGCTCCCTGTTTTATTTATGCGTCTCAAGCAAATTCGTAAGTCCAATCTGAATCCGCCGTGATATAAAGGTTAGAAATATACTTTTGAGCTCTACTACAGTTTGTTATTTTATTCTACTGTCTGGTTATCGTTAGTGTACTGTAGTTGTTCACTCATACAAATGCAATAATTAATTTCAAGCAAATAATAACTCTAGATAAGCTATTACCGTAGATACCACGGTCAAAAATCTAAACCCTGTCCTCATCTAAATAGCACAATACACATACCGTACAGAGAAAAAGGGAAGAACAATCTAAATTAATAATTCAGCATAATTTACTACAAAATGAATAACCAATAAGTCAGTATGGTCACCGGAATAAGGCTGATGCAAAATTGACTTTAATTAATCCAAATAGCCATTCCATTTATGTGAACCAATATAGGCCTACAATTGAGTTTGGATACTGCAAGTAGACTTTGCATTTTATGTGAACTAGACGTGTCAATAATACAGACTTTGAATATATACTGTAATTAGGAATTCCATTAATGTGAACCAAAGATACCACTGAGTTTGGATACTGCAAGTAGACATTCCATTGACATGAACCAGTTGTACCATTGACTTTGGATACTGCAAATAGGCACTCCATTATGTGAATCAAATGAACCATTGCTTTGGATCCTGCAAGTAGACAATTCCACAATTTTTGTGAACCAAATATACCATAGAGTTTGTATACTGCAAGTAAACAATTTGTTTATGTGAACCCGACGTATCATTGACTTTTAGTACTGCAAATAAATATACATTCCATTTATTTAAGTGAACCAGAAGAAACCCTACCATTGATT